AGAACAAATACAAATAAATAACTTGATGCTACACCTCAAACAGCTAGAAAAAGAAGAGCAAGTCAAGCCCAAAGACAAAAGAAGAGAGGAAATTATAAAAATCAGAGCAGAAATCAATGCAATAGAGACTAAGAAAACAATCCAAAGAATCAACGAATCAAAGAGTTGGTTCTTTGAAAGAATAAATAAAATCGATAAGCCACTAGCCAACCTTATTTTAAAAAGGGAAGAAAAAGCTCAAATTCATGCAATAAGAAACAAAAAAGGTGAAATCACTTTAGACTCTACAGAAATACAGAAGATCATCAACACCTGTTTCAAAAACATCTACCCTCAAGGGTTTGATAACAGAAGAAATAGACAGATTCTTAGAAATATATGAACTAACAAAGCTAGATCAAGAGGATGTAAAACTGCTGAATAACCCAATCTCTGTTAATGAAATTGAAAATGTAATTAAGTCCTTACCTACAAAGAAGAGCCCAGGCCCAGATCGATTCACTGCAGAATTCTACAAGAAATACAAAGAAGACCTAATGCCGACACTCCTCAAACTATTCAATGAAATTGAAAGGGAAGCAATCCTTCCTAAGTCATTCATGGAAGCAAATATTACCCTAGTACCAAAACCTGAGAAAGACCCAACTGAAAGGAGAACTATAGAACAATCTCCCTCATGAACTCAAATGCAAAAATCCTCAATAAAATATTGGCAAAAAGGATGCAGCAAATCATCAAGAATATTATACACCATGACCAAGTGGGATTCATCCCAGGAATGCAGGGGTGGTTCAACATACGTAAATCAATAAATGTAATCCACCATATCAATAAAGCCAAAAATAAGAATCACAAGGGTATTTTGACAGATGCAGAAAAAGCTTTTGATAAGGTCCAACATTCATTCATGATAAGAACTTTAGAGAAAATTGGAATAGATGGTCTTTACCTCAATATAATAAAGGCCACCTATGACAAACCAACAGCCAGCATCATACTAAATGGCAAAAAATTGAAAGCCTTTACTTTAAAATCAGGCAATAGACAAGGAGGTCCTTTATCACCACTCCTATTTAATATAGTACTGGAAGTACTAGCCAGAGCAATTAGGCAAGAGAGAGAAATAAAAGGGGTAAAGATAGGAAAAGAAGAAGTTAAATTATCATTTTTTGCAGATGACATGATACTCTACATAGAAGACCCCCTAAACTCCATTGAAAGACTCCTAGATATAATAAATAAATTCAGCAATGTGGCTGGATAGAAAATCGATACTCAGAAATCAATAGCATTCCTATACACGAACAATAAATTCACAGAGAGGGAAATAAGAGAAACCACACTCTTCACACTAGTAAGCAAAAAAATGAAATATTTAGGAAATACTCTAATGAAAGAAGTGAAAGACCTATACAAGGAAAATTGTAATACGCTGAAAAAAGAAACTGAAGATGATCTCAGAAAATGGAAAGACATCCCTTGCTCATGGATAGGAAGAACAAACATTGTGAAAATGGCCATTCTCCCAAAATTGTTATACAGATTCAATGCAATCCCAATAAAAATACCATCAACATACCTTATAAATCTAGAGAAATCACTCCTAAAATTCATCTGCAACCAGAAGGCACCTAGAATAGCAAAGGCAATTCAAAGCAGCAAAGGCGAGGCAGGAGGCATCAAAATCTCTGACTTGAAGTTATACTACAAAGCAACAGTAAATCAACATGGTACTGGAATCAAAACAGATCCGAAGATCAATGGAATAGATTAGAAGATACAACCACAACTACAAACACACTCAACCACCTTATCTTTGCTAAGGAGCCAAGCAGGTTCACTGGAAGAATGACACTCTTCAATAAATGGTGTTGGAAAAACTGGCTCTCCATTTGCCAAAAACTAAAGCTAGACCCATGTCTATTACGATGTACTAAATTAAAATCTAAATGGATTAAATATCTGAATATTAAAACAAAAACACTAAATGAATTGGAAGAGAAATTGGGTAGAAACCTTGAAGACATAGAAGTAGGTAGAGAATTCATGAACAGGACTCCGCACGGGAAATACTTCCCAGAATCAATAACTGGGACCACTTCTTACTTAAAAATTTCTGCATGTCAAACGAAATCTCCAGCATAGTGAAAAGAAAACCCACAAACTGGGAAAAGATTTTAGTGAACTCTCTCTCAGACAAGGGACTTCTGTCTAAAACATATAAAGAATTAAAAAAAACTCAGACTCCCAAAATTCAAAGTTCCAATCTAAAAATAGGCATCTGAGATGAATACACACTTCTCAGATGAAGAAATACAAATGGTAAATAAATATATGAAAAAATGTTCATCATCATTGTTCATTAGAGAAATGCAAATTAAAACCACACTGAGATTCCATCTCACTCCTGAAAGAATGGCCAGGATCAAGAAAACTAACAACCACAAATGCTGGAGAGGCTGTGGGGAAAAGGGAACTCTCCTACACTGTTGGTGGGAGTGTAGACTGGTACAACCTTTGTGGAGGTCAGTCTGGAGATTTCTCAAAAAGCTGGGATTGGAAGTCCCATTTGTTCCAAGCTATTCCACTTCTAGGCATACTCCCAGAAGAACTGAATTCATCATACCACAGTGACATATGTGCACCTATATTTATAGCAGCACAATTTGTAATCGCCCGATATTGGAAACAACCCAAGTGTCCACCAACTGAGGAATGGATAAAAAAAGTTGTGTTATTTCTATACAATGGAGTATTACTCAGCTATAAAGAAGGATCGTATTGAGATATTTATCAATAAATGGGTGCAGCTTGAGACCATACTCATACGTGAAATAAATCAATCTCGCATGTGTGAATACCGAATAGTTTCTCTATGTAAGTAATGATTCAAATATATAAAAGTATGTGGTGATCATGATTCCCCATTATGTGGCCTTGAAGCCATATAAAGTTTTCACTTATTAGTTGGAATGGCTTTATTCTGGGCTGCTTGATATTAATGCCTGTGATGAAATGAACAGCTAATTTGAAGAAAATAAGTCATCATGATAGCTAGTGATAATTTACTATCATCCGGTTTTTTTTTTTTAATTTAAGAGGAAAAAGAGAAAAACACAAAACAAAACAAAGCAGTGTAAGGTTACACATAATACAGAACTGCAAAAAAAAAACATAACAGTAAGAAATCACCTGTTAATAGATTACATATTATCATCTTGGAAATAGTTGCTCAAATCACAGTATCAAAGAATACAAAGTAGACATTCAAACAGAGAGACTGCAAACAGCTGTGTTCAATGATCCAAAAACATTAATATAGTCAGCTATTTAACATCCCTAAACACACTTGCTGTTATATCCGTTAGAGCTCTTTTTTTTTTTCCCTCCCTCTCTTTTTTACAACAAAATTTACACATTTTGGATTTGTTTTGAAGCCCCACCAAACTATGGCTCTTCTGTCTCCACTGGTTGTATCATGATGTATCTTGCTGGATGTTATTATATGTGATAGTATAAACAAAAATTGTTATAAGCACAGAGATAATATAGAAACCATTGTTCATTATCTGTTAGCTGGTTCTAAAAACCCTACAATGCTTTCATCTGCTTGAATGGTTTTACACTGACTTGATATGTGTGAAGCGATAGTATATGAAGTTTTATTCAAATATTTCAAGGAAAAGGACACTATGGTAACTACTATTAAGTCGGGTTATTTGGTGGTGAAGCACTAGGTTGCTGAAACTGTCATGCTTCGACCTGTACTGTTATGTTTTTATGTCCTCTTTTATCTCAACCTCTCCCTTATTCATTGAAAAATTATTTAGTTATTTTTTATGATTTTTTTAATTAAGGGGAAAAATCAAAAAAATTAGCAGGATATATTATAGTAACTTATTTGATTTCCTATTAACATGTTTTGAAGTCCTGTAATACTCCCACTATCTTGTTTTGACTGATTAGATTCTGTTCCGTTCTGTATGATAGTATCAAGTTTGAGGGTATAGGCAACTATTTTAAAGGCAATAAGATTCACTATGATGCCCATTCTGGTTTGACTATTATGTTCTTTGGAAGTCCTGTAATGTTTACAAGGTTTAGGTTGTATTGGTCTTGTTCTCTACTGTTTTGTTTAACTTTATAATACCTAATGAGGTAGACAATTCTTTTTAAGGAAGCAAGAGGCATTATTGTAATCATTGTTGATAACCTTGGACTCTGTTTTTACATAATGTGCTATGTCTATCCTTGGCTTTGACTGACAGCTTTGTTTTGCCATATTTCACTTTATTCTCTTCCAAAAAAAGTAATAAGAACTAAGGAGTAATAAAACCCAAAATGTGTAAATTTTGTTGTAAAAAAGAAAGGAAAAAAAAGTGCTCTAAAGGATACAACTGCAAGTGTGTTTAGGGGTGTTAAATGGCTGACCATATTAATGTTTTTGCTTGGATCATTGAGCACAACTGTTTGCAGTCTCACTGTTTGAATGACCACTTTGTATGCTTTGATACTGAAACTTGAGCAACTATCTATAAGATGATAATGTGTAATCTATTAACTGGTGATTTCTTACTGGTTTTTTTTTTTTTTGTAGTTATGTATTACTTGTACCCTTGCACCACTTTGTTTTGTTTTATTTTTTCACTTTTTACTTTTAAATAAAATTTTAAAAAAAGAAAGTTAAATATCACATGGTTTCTCTTATATGAGAAACCCAAAACATAAGTAATTTAAAGGACAAAATAAAAGAGATATAGTAGGAACCAGGAAAGTAGACTATATGTAGATTGGAAAAGGACCTCAAGAAGAATGATGGAAGAGGAAATAAAAATGATACAACCAATTGTTTAAGAGAATGTAATTATTGTATGATACAACCAATTCTTTAAGAGAATGTAATTATTGTGTTATAAACATATACTAGTAACAAACGTTTGAACATTTTAAATATATGAGAATCTTTTAATTTGTAGAGAAAGAAAGCAAAATTAACTCACTTTCCACACACTGTAACATTCACTTTTTCATCCAGAAATGTGACTGCCTTTGGACACTTTACTTGCACTTCAAATCTGGGGAGTACTGTGGAAAGATATCAGAAATGCAGCATGTGGGCAAGATATTCTTGTGGTTGGTTAAATGAAAAACCAGTGCTCAGAAATGGTGACTTTATAATTGTAAGGTAACACCATACAAAGCTACTAAAATGAGTAGTCATATGTTATATTAATTCTAACAAATCCTAGGAGCTTCCACTTAAATAATAAAAAATATCAAATGAGGGGATGCAATTTGCTTTCAAAAATCCCAAATATGAAATTCTGGGTTCATAGGTAAGAGTACTGCATAGAGTTAATTGAAGCTCATCCCTATCCATATACAGTAAATACATTCAAGTAGATTCATACTCTGGTTGCCAGACACTATGACATCCACTTTTTCTTCCCAATCTTCCAAAACCATACCATATTCTTCCACACTGAAGACATGTTCTTTCTTTTCTCCTGATTTTTTTAGTACCATGATCTTGTAGAAACCCTGAATAGGCTCCGATGATAGGTTGAAGGACAACTGCTTAATTCCATTCTCTGATGTAATATCCCGCCATTGCATAATTCGATTCTTTCTGGGATCCTACAGAATAAAATGATACAATAATACATGTAAGGAGACTGCTGTATTAATCATTAATTATATGGGAAGTTTTGGATAATTTTACTTGGAAAGAAAGAAATAGAAGTGTGGGATATAACAAATCAGTTGTCCGGAATGTGGGAAATTTTCAGATACAGTCTTTTAATCTCTGGGCATATTGTTGTGACTTTCCAAACATCAATTTATTTTCAGTACACTGATTTCTTTTGAACATGAAATGCTTTCAGTTTCTTACCTCAATATAAACCAGAGGAAACTAAAACAAAAGGAAAACAATATGTTAGAAATTTCACAGATACACCAAACAGAAATTTCACAGGTACACCAAACTCTAATTCACTAAAAGAACCAGATGTTACAATGGGAGTTTTAGTTAAAATTCATCAAATTGTTGTCAGGCAATAAAGTTAACAGTAATATAGACCACCAAAAAAAGTTTAAGTAGAAATCAAGGATTAAGGTGGAGAATTCACACTACATTGCTAATTTTAAAAGTAAGGAGGAATGGAAATTGAGGCTCTCTCTAGTACACTGAGGTCCATCGCTAGCCATAAGATTAAAGTGCTTATGTAATTTATTGCACAAATCAGAAAATTTTTTGAGAGTGAAATGTGTCATAATTGAAATTATTTCTAGACAACATACATAAACTGGGGCTGTGTTGGGCAACCTAGTATGTCTGATTATCCTAAGAAAGGCAAAAAACTCCCCTCACAATCTAATGAACTCAAAAAGGATTCCTATGAGCTGGGCATGGTGGCGCATGCCTGTAATCCCAATGTTACCTGAGAGGCTGAGGCAGAAGAATCACTGCAAGTTTGAGGCCAGCCTGGGTCCATAGTGAGTTTCAGGACAGCCTGAACTACACTGAGAGACCCTCTCCAAAAAAAATGGATTCCTGTGAGCACTTACTTGAACAGACTAAGAACCAGCACCTAACTCTTACCCTAGAATGTAAACACAAAAATTACTGACTACTTCTTATGGATGAAAAGCAGTAGAGAATTGCTACTGCTTGAGATTGGGCTGCAGCTTCAGAGATTTTGTAAACAATGAAGTCATGAGCACTTCCCATGGACCACATAAATACCATAAGGAAGAGAAAGCCGGCAAAACATCATTTTAGATTACATTGGATGTGGACCTGTGGATTTGGGGCAGCTGGGGAAGGACTAAACAATCATTGGACAAGAGCACTGTGGCAATATGCATGGACAGTTGGTTATATATTAATGACAGTCTCTGAAGTGTCCACAGAAAGTAAACTATGAAAATGAAAGTTACCTTTAACACTCTCCCTGCCCCCAAAGGGTACTATTTGAGGACTATAAAAGCTAAGTGCATTATTTTCTACTCTCCTATATTGCAGGAAGGAAATAGAGAGTGTGTTCAATTGGAAGGATAGGGAAATGAATTATCATCTGGAGATGGGCAGCAGGCCAATGAAAATGCCCATATTTAACTTTTTCATAAGATAGGTGACAGTAGCAACTATGTGTAGTCTACAGGGAATTATCCCATAAAAGGGAATAACAATGATGACAGAAAGAAAAAGGATTATTAGGGAGTTGATAAACAAGCAAAATAGGATGGACCCAAAAGCATGAGGAGTTCACCCTGATTAGTACATGAATACTTTTTAATTTTAAAGGAAGCAGAGAAGAGAATATGGGTAAAAACATAGAACTGGGCTGGAGATTTAGCTAAGTGGCATAACAAGGCAAGTACAAGGTCATGAGTTCTATCCCTGGTACAAAAAAATAGAACTGTTAGAAGAACTGGGATGTAATCTTATATTTTTTATGAATTTTGAGTTAAAGTCAACAAAGAATAATACAGCAACTGAATTCCAGTGGACTTTTTCTCTAAGTTCTGTATAAAACTTCTGGATTATTTTTGTGTTCTGGGGAAGATGAAGCATTTTTTAAATGTCAAATGATGAATTTTTATAATCAGCTTTTCTTAGGTTTAATTGGTTTAAAATAATTCTACCCAAATTGCATCCCTGAACTCACAGAGAAAGATTCACACAAGAGATACTTCTGGTGAATAATAACATTTTCATCTTGAAGAAGGAACACCTAGTTTAATATAGTTTTGTAGAAGTGTAAGTGAAATTATAAAAGAGTAGAGATGTAAACAGTGTTGAGGAACTGTGTCCTTAAATGATATGAAGCACCTAGCCATGTGTGTTACAATGCTCACACTTTGGCACTACAGAGCTTCCTACACAGTCAGTGCATTAACTGATATCTGAGTGCCTGAAAGGTACAAAAGAGAGTTCATTGTCTCCTTCCCTTTGATGTCATTTCTATGACAACCTGATTTTCTGCTTGAGTTAAAATTCTGCAGTTGACTCCAAGTTTGTTGAAGTTAAAAGTCCATCCAGTCATCTTTTTTCTTCTCCCCTCTGCCACTCATAGCACTGAAAGACACACAGTCATAAAATACTCACCAACTCATGCCGTTGGCGCAAATTTCTATCCACAGACACAACTCGAAACTTAACTGAAAAAGAAAAGCTTTCTGAGTAGACCCAGAGATCCAGGTCTCGAGGGCAGATGAGCCTGGGACAGCTCATCTATGAAGCCAGCCACCGCTGAGCCCTGTACCTGTCTGTCCCGGCTTGTACATGGGTTTGTCTGTCTGGACAATGAGAATGCTTTCCGTATTCCTCACCACCACTGCCATCTCTTCACTGAATGTGTGTGTTCGTCCTTTTATCTGGACAGACAGGAAGGCTACCTCATTAGGAGATGAGGTTCTCGGAAGCTGAGAACAAAACAAATCAAAAGAACCATCATCATCTTGCCTTAGCATTTCCCTTTTACCTATTTGCCTCTCGCTGCTTAGGACTGTAGGTGAGCCCCAGCATTTTATTTATTTATTTACTTACTTATTTTCTATGAATATTATTTAAATATAAGGTAAAGAAGAGCAAGTCAGAAAGAGGTGTAACAAATAAAGCCCAAAATTTCATGAGACTAAAACAGTACCTATGATACCCTACTGTCTTCCTAGTGTAAAAAAATTGAAAGAGTAAACAGGAACCAAAATGTACAACAGACACTGTGAAAGTGAAAGGGGAAGAAACTGCTCAAAAGAAAAGAACTGGAATGGGGGAAAGGAGAAAAGAAAGAAGGGAAAAAGATGGAGAGAGAGAGATAGAGATAGATATAGATAGACATAGATGGAGATATAGATATATGTATTATATATATTAGATAACTATTCTATTAAGCTCTATTAGTTCATCAAAAACAATGATTTGTCTTTTCATTGTTTTATCATTTTTTCATGCCTGTATCTTGTAATCTGAGCAACTATTTTGAATATAAAAATGCACAACATCTATTAACCACTATTAATCTATTATTTGTTTCAAATTCTATATCATTTTTAAACTTTTTTCATTAAAAAAAGAAAACATAGTTAACTTTGTGGAATAAATATATCTTAATTAAAAATTAAATCCAACCCTGAAAATAATGGAAAGGAGAATTTTTAATATGCTAATAATGGTAAGAGCTATATCTTGAAAATAGATTGCCTGAAGAAGCTAGAAATAAATTCAATGTATCAAATATACATTGAAGATTCAGCCTTTATTAGAAAGAGTATTTCAGTTCACACCTTAGTGGTAAATACCAAATTTTAGTAGAAGTTAAATAAAAATTAGCATACATATAACTACTAACTGCTTCAGGTTTGAGTGGGAAAATCTGTATTTTCCCCTTTGGCTGTGATAAATTTTCTATGTTGTGTTCTTTGAGATCACTGATACCTTTCTAGATTAATTCTCTGATATTAAAAATCAGTCCCCTGTCTCATATATAGCAGGTGTACTCACAGTAAAGGATACACATTGGAACAAGTCCTCGTGGACCTCAAAGTCACTGAACAGGCTCTTCTTTCCCATACTGGACATCAAGGAAGCACTTACAGTCACTGTCTCCTTCAGATAGTGCAAATGGAGACAGCTTTTCTCAGGAACCTCAGTGTAGAGCTGGGTGGGAACCAGCACCATGTACTGCCTAAAAAGGGAGCAATTCAGACCAAGACAGGGGAGATATATTTTCATGACTATAATTTCATCTCAATAATTATTACCACCCTTACTTTCATACCTTGACAGAGCAGGCTGACAGCATGGCAGTGTGGTGAGTGGCAAGGAAATCTACACACATTAGCAGCGTCAGCAGTGGGGGCCCATTCAAGATAGGTGATAATAGCATGATACTTCTACACTTTCCCACCACACCTCACACCCCTAAATTTACATTTTAAAGACAAAACAAGAGAAATAATTATTCACTACATAAAGATATTCCATTAGAATTATTCTCAAATGCTATATTTAATTCTTGGGGGGAAAACCCAATGCTTCCTTCTTATCCTCAGTGTCTCCAACCTAAACTCACGTCATCATGAGTAGAGTTCAGGGTTGTATAATTGACCCAAGTCCTGACTGAGGAATACACAAAACTGGACTTCAGAGGCATTCTTTTCCATCTTTAGAGATATTCAAAGTCCTTGAATTGTCTGTAAGGAAGCCAGTGACTGACACTCTTAAAGCATATTAAGTACTACTAGATTATCTTCCTTTATACCTCTTCTAAAGTCAAATATTCTTGTTCTTCAACCCACTGGAAGGGGGAGTGATGTGTCAATTCTTGCTAATGTTCCTGTTGACACAAAATATAAGGCCTATTGGTACTTCATAATTGTCAGGGTATTCTGAAACTTGCTATAAACCTGCACACCTGGTAACAATATTTAATAGACACAGAGCCAGGACCCAAGAGTCATTGCCTAAAGTTTATCTGACTCAGATTGAAGTCCAGTCCTAATATTTAATCCATTAACAAACAATAATGGTATTTACTTTTTTTTTTTTTTTTGGTACCTGGGATTGAATTTACGAGGTCATACTTGCCACGAAGGCACTGTGCCACTGTGTTAAACCCCCGGTCCTTACTATTCATTTTAGGATTATTGTATTGAAATGGCTTGAGCACAAGAAAATGGGTCTTGAACCCTGGAATTTTAGGCCTTAGTCGCAGATGAAAAAGAAGGCATTTTCCTAAGTCAAATCACCTCTAAGTTAATCCTACTTTAATTACTTTAAAGCTGAAAAAACAGTTCTACAAAATCATGAAATAGGGGGCTGGGGATTTAGCTCAGCGGCATAAGCACCTGCCTTGTAAGCAGGCAGTCATAAGTTCGATCCCCGGTACTAATAAAAAGGGAAAGGACAAAAAAAATCATGAAATATTAAAGCTGGAAAGGATGCTAAAGAATTTAAGTGAAACAAGTAGAATGGTGACTATCAGAGGCTGGAGAGAGGCGGTAGGGAATATTATTCAAAGGACACAAAGCTTCAGTTAGTGAGGACAAAATAGAGTCTGACTATCAATCAGGCATCATGGTGATTAAAATTAGGCATATTATACCCTATATTTCAAAACTACTGAAAACCAATATTTTTAAACTCCACCACAAAAATATATGTAAATGAGAGTATTATTATGTTCATTGGTTATTTAATTAATCCACTTTGTACACAAATATCAAAACATTACACTATTCCATAAAAACATATAATTAGTACTTGTCACTTAAGGAGGAAAAAAAAAGCATGTAGGAGAGGTTCGGGTAGAAAATGACAGTGGAATGAGCCCTGATGTTACTCACGGTTTTTTATGGACTGAGGCTGCTGTCATTAGGAGGGCAAGAAAAATGAGAACAAAATGTGGCAGAGCATGTCTGCCTTTCCCCATGGTGCAAGAGAAAAGTGCAAGAGGTAAGAGCATGGCGTCCTCCTCCTTATGGCACCTGGCCCCACTGACTCCCTGAATCCCAGGGATTTATTTGTGAGTGTGCTGTGTGCAAACAGGAAGCTCAGTTCTCCACCTCCAAACAGCATGTAAAATTTGGCAAGCATTCTCTGAGAGTCATCGCTCTCACAGTGATCCCAGGATGAATCGAAACAGGCTCAGGAGTGGTGCTGGAATAGTTGTGTATCACAGCTTTTTCATCATCTCAATTAGAAACTATGAAATGTCCATCAAAAATAACTTGCTCACCCAGGACTCAATTATGGTCAGTACCTACCCACAGCTATCAAGATACAGTACATGGAGTATTTTGATTACCCCAAAAAGTTTTTTTAAGCCACTTCGCAATACCTCCACTCCCTACTGGCCACCAATAATGTGTATTCTGTCTCTCTAGGGGCAGCTTTTTATGACATTGTATGTGTGGAGTCATGGAAACCTAATATGTGTTGCCTTTTGAATCTGGCTTATTTAGCAAAATGCATTTAGGTTTTCACACATTTTGTGGTTTGAATCAGTAGTGGATTTCTATTTCCTGATGAATAGACATCTACTATATAACCATATGACAGTTTATTTATACTTCAATCTCTACCTGTACATTTGTGCTGTTTCTAGTTTGTAAGAATTATTAATGAAGCCACATGCATGATGCATGAATATTCAAGTAGATATATTTTTCATTTTTCTTGGAGAAATACCTAGAGAAGTAGGATTGATAGGTGATGCAATAAATACAAATTTCACTCTATTATATATTTACATCTTAGGAAGTGAGTTTAGCAAATGGTTATCAAAGATACTTGATTATAAATGGAAGCTACCATTATCACCACTTTGTGCCATCAGAAATTATTTCACTAATACTGCAGTTTTGGGGGGCTTAAACCACATTGCTGAAATAGTCACTAAGGATTACACAAAAGACAGAGACAGCCTACATATGCAAATTTCACAACTTAAAAGATTTTCAATAAGTTTTCTTGAAGGGGAGGCACAGGAGAGGGATTGCAAATTTTTCCATATCCTTCCCTACTGAAAGGTATTTAAAGGCTGATGAAATTTAAAGGTTGAATTGCTAAGAAAGGTGAGAAATAAAACTATGGAGGCAGAGTGGGCTATGTGCTAACTGGGAAGCAAAGGTAACATTCAGAGGAGAAGCAATTGGATAATCCTGGAGACAAGGCATGCAGCGTAGAAAAATTCATTTCTTGTTAGGGTTTGGATCTTAAATATTCCTCCAAGTCCATATGTTGACGATTTGATCACCAGGCGGTGGCGCTATTGGGAGGTGGTAGAACCTTAGGGATAGAGCTAAATGAGCAGAAATTAGGTCTCTGAAACATCGCCATGAAGAGGACATTGTGACCTGGGTCCTTCTTCCCCTTTCTTTGCTTCTCAGCCACCACAGAGTGAACAGACTTGCTCTGCCACCTGCTCCCCATCATAATGTTCTGCCTCACCACAGACCTAACAGGGCAGGCCCAAATAACCATGGGCTGGAACCAAGTGCCAAAATAACCCCTTCCTCTTAGGCATTTATTTCAATTATTTCATCACAGTGACAGGAAACTAACTAGCTGAGATTCCTTTCTTCATCAGGTCTGTGGAATACAGTGTTAAGTGTACCTCACTAAACTGGAAATTCGACTGTTTTGCTTCTGATTTTGCACTCATTAGCTGCTATTTATTGAGCTGTTGTAATATGCTATTTTTAATGTAACCTAATTTAACTCTCTCAATATCACAGAGCGATTCCTGCTCCTATTCTGCAGACAGAGTAACCAGTGATTATGTAATCTACTGCAGATTTCACAGCTCTAAGTGAATGAGTTAACATCAGAAGTCAGGTCGTGTGGCACCAGCATCTGAATGCTTCACTACCTCTCCATTGCCACGAACTTCTAATGAAGTAGGCTTTGACCTCTTCCTGAGCTTCAGCTTTCTGAACAACTGCATTGGGACAGCAGTATTTTTCTCTACCCTACAAATAAAACTCCAGGTTTTATTTAATGAAAATTCTGAAAAACTCATTTTGAAAGTATAAGAACAGCATAGAGATTGAAAATGTAGCCTCTGGAATTAGACTGCCAGGACTGCATTCCTAACTCTTCCAGTTTACTTACAGTCCCCATGTCTTAGTTCCTCAAACCCAAAATGTAGGTAATAGTAGCATTCACCAAATAGAAGTCTGAAGAGGGCTCCAGGAAGAAAGTCATAGTTTGCATTGCTTTCTCAGTGTTGAGACACAATACCCAAAGCCCACACTTTAGAAGACAAGTTTATTTTGGCTCATGGTTGTAGAGGTTTAGGTCCACAGTCTACTGGCTCCAAGGGAGTGCAGCATGGCAGAGGAAAAACCACTCATAGTCTAGCAGCAAGAAGAAGAGAAAGATCAAGAGAGGAGGAGGGAAAAGGACTCTTCCAGGGCATTGCCACAGTGACCCACATCCTCCAACCAGGCTTCACCTCCCAATATCACATTGAGCTAACTTAGCAGCAGACTAATCCATTGATGAGTATCACATTTAACTACAAACTCTTTGATGGACTAATCTACTGAGGAGTGTCACACTCCTATGATGCATTCACCTCCCCAGAGCTCCACTTGTAAGTGTATAAGGCTTTGTGACAACATTGAAATATAAACCATAACCATCATGAAATGTACTTAACACAGGGAAGGAATTATATGCTTCAGATTCAAAGTTTAATTTGATCATGAGTATCAGCAAATTATTACATAGACTATAGTTGTCAGAAAAAGTGCTCATCACAATTGATTACTGAAAATAATTGGTTAAAAAAGAAGCTGAATTCTTATCTTCCAATGTCAAGGATTACTTCAGTAAGACTGTAGTAGTGTCATCTTATATACTCGGGACGAGCAAGTGGTGTTAGTGTCTCTCACTCCTCCCCCTGATAATAATATTCTTTTTATAATAATATTGTTAGACTCATAAAATAGTTATTACCATTCTCAAATGTTGATAAGGGAATAATTATCAATTTGCTATTGATATCAGCACAACTCCAGAAAACATAAATTAGATTACTTTTGTAAATAGGATAGTATAACTTCAACAAAGATTAGAACATTTGGAACAGTAACTGTGGTACCTTGGTTCATAAACTTTATTTCTTCCACAGTTCTGAGGAAGATGACTGTAGTCGTGTTCATCACCCAATGCATAGCTTGCAAATGGAATCAAAATTTTGCCTAATCTTCAGTTTGTGAATGAAATTGTTGGTGAGCAGAAGCATTCATGAACCAGAGTATTACTGTATTTCATCACATGAATTTTCTAGAAGAGAAAATGGAAAAGAAAAAAAGAAGTCAAAAACAAAAAAAATTAGAGAGCCATAGACAAGGAAAAAATTCATGATGGGTTTTTGTTTTTGTCTCTTACAAACCTTTGTATAAAAGTCAACCCTCATAGGGTTCTTTCTGCTCTGTGTTTAGAGCTGTAACCAATCACCACCCTAATTCTCTTATTTATTTTTGTTTAGCTTGCCAAAGCCTTAAACTCCTTTTGCATGCAACTCTATTTTCTTATTTGAATTGCTATCATTCTTCACGATGAAGAAAATCTCTGAGAGTGGAAATTTTGTTAGCTGTATTTCCTACTACATCACCTAGTGGCTGTGCAATAAATAATTGCTGAATTAATATGTGCCTCACTGTCCTGAAACAGAAAGCAGCTGTGTTTCGATATGGAGACAAAATAAAGATTATGAAATTAAATGCCATAAATCAACATTAAAAAGTGAACTTCTCCCACAACTGTTAGCAGTGATTTATTGACTCTCCTGTCTTCTTGTAGCCCACAAATCTGAATATTGTATTTGAATTCTATCCAAATGAATCACACACCAGGGTACATTTAACTGTATTTGGCCTGAGAACAAACTGCTGAGTGTCATTTTGTCTGGTTAAATATTAACAATCTTCAAGTGCAGAAACCTCAGTTACTGGACATGACCAGTTTTTCTTGGTCATGAGCCCACTTATGTAATCACATTAACCCATTTAACTAGTTTTATTTAGAAACTAATTAGAACATACAAAGTGAAAAATAATATTTCTCAAGTTACTGGAATCTATAGTTATAATTTATTTCTTTGTAAATGATTTTATTAATTTCTTTGATTTTGAAAAAATGATTAAAATATAGAATACATTTGTAATACTTTCAGCATCTAAAAATTAAAGGCTTTTGTTGAATGTTATACTTGAACTGACTCAATCCTATTACCCAAGGAAAATAATGATTTGTTTATTTCCCTGTCATATTTCTGACCATGAAACTGTTCATGTATCTGTGATGGTTTTTAAGGGCACATGAGAGGTATCTCTTGAAAAATTCCACAGGAACAAAGTCAGTTATATAACAGTACACAAAACTAAAAAAAATATAATCCCAGTTCTATTTTATTTTTTCCAAGATGTACAACAAATCACATAAGCCACTTTATCTTGCAAATAAAAAGAAACTGTATTTAGCATTTGCCATTTGCCTGAAACATCACAAAATTTTCTTTTGATTTTTTTTCTATGATTCGTTTCTTCTTTGACCCGGGTTAATGAAATTTACAATAGATATGTGAAAGTCAAGAATTTTATCTAATGAAAAAAAAGAATTTCAAAGTCAGAATTATAAAATCCTATACAAAGGCTGGGGACTTAGCTCAATGGCCTTGCAAGTGTAAGGTCTTGAGTTAAGTCTCCGGTCCAAAAAAAATTAAAAAAATTTAAAAAAAAATCCTATACAAAGAAGAGGAAGAATAGATAAGATATTAAGAATTAGGAAAGATTCAAACATTAGAAAAACAAAGTTACAACAATTTTATATATATGTATACGTATATGTATGTATATATATATATATATGTATATATATTATCCCAGAATGTAAAAGGTCTGAATTTTACAATCAAAAGATACATAGTGACTGTATCAGTTA